CGGCGACTATGTACCGCAACGCTATCCGCACTACCCTCATTATGGTACTCACGTAAGTTACCCACCTCATAAGATCAGTGGTGCAGAAGCTTCCGACTCACCAACAATGCAACGGTTGCCAGTAGTCACAACGCCAGGTAAACATGCAGATCTGTGCATTACAGAGGAATAAGTTTCTCAAACCTGGTTGATGATGACATGAATTTGACTTGCATTGCATTTTGCTTAATCGCGCACTACGTACATTACATTTTAGCCAGGGACGTCGGGGGAGAATCGTTAGACACCTACTGTATCAATCTCGCATCCGGCATCTATCCATATCCTGGCGACTGCAGCAGATTCATCCAGTGCTCCAACGCCATGACTACTATTCAGATGTGTCCGGTCGGCCTGGTGTTCAACCCGAACCCGAAGGTATTGGTTTGCGACTATGTGCGCAACGTCCCACAGTGCGACACGGAGCTGGCAGCAGTTGTTGCAAGTAATCGACGGTTGTTGCAGCGTCAGAACTGATGGGTATTTTCAGACTCGGCCGCTGCCGACCAACCCAGCGTTTCATCGGGTAGGTCATTTGTTTTTTTTTGTAATTTTTATATCCTCGATGAAATAACTATCAACCGACATTCTTGCAGCGGGTTCGCAAGAGGGCGCGACTCAGTTTTGCAGTTCGACACAAGACGAGATGATCCCGTATCGGCAAGACTGCACGAAGTATATCCAGTGCACACATGGATTAGGAAAGATCAGAAGCTGTCCCGGCCACCTGGTGTTCAATCCCCGTCTGCAAGTGTGTGATTATGCGCAGAACGTGCCGCAGTGTCGTCCAGGTGTCGTAGCGACCAGTGCTGACAGCGGACGAGGTAATGAGTGCAGACGTAGGCCGAGGCCTCGTCATTGCAACTCGTTTTCGTTTTCAGCATCATCGTCGTCCTCGTCCTCGTCCTCGTTCTCATCGTCCGGTAGTAGCCTAGATCCGAATTTCTGTGCGGACCTGGAGGACGGATTCTACCGGCATTCTTTCGAGTGCTCGAAGTTCGTTCAGTGTTTCAAGCACAGGAGTTTCATCTTGAGCTGTCCTAAAGGTTTGGTATTCAGCCCAACGAAGCAGGTGTGTGACTGGCACAGCAAAGTTCCCGAATGCAACGTTCAGGCGAACCCGTCAAGTATGCATATGTCGCAGTTTTCATCGTTTCCGAATGTGTGACCATCGGCTATTGTGATTCTAGACAGCGAGTCCAGTGGCGAATGTTCGAATGTGCCAAACGGTGCGTTCTTGCAGTACCCGAACGACAAGAAAAAGTTCATAAGATGCTTAAACGGCCACTCTTACACGTTCGACTGTCCAAGGGGCCTTGTCTACCACCCGCAGACCCATGTATGTGGTTATCCACCGAAGTCGTCGAACAACAGCGGATCGACATAGTAAAATTCGTATCGCCACATGCCATGGACATTTTAATGGTTTTACTGTTTTTATGAAAGTACATTCCATACAGTATTCACAAGTTCGCTAACGATATTATTTCCGTTTTGGCTGGTTCAAGTTACTGTTAAATTTTAATCAATTAAATTGATTCCTTTTTAAAAGTATTCGTCGTTCGTCTTCAACAAAGGAAAGCACAAATGGGTTTGACAGTCGCAGTGTTTCTTTGATTGCACTCATAATTATGATATGCTGAGGAAGCTATAGCTACCGGCTTATTATGACGTCACGACGATTGACACCAACACAACCACCACGGAAATTTTCCTAAAATGACTGAAGTTCAACCGACGAAGCTCAATGAACTGACGAAAACTTCGGGCCACATCCGTGGTAATGTTCAGCAACTACTCACAAAAATCTCAGTGACAGGTCTACTGAGCACGGAACCACGGGGTATTTTTGTTTAGCATCAGTTTGCCATTGCTTGAATAGAATAATGACAAACATGAATGATTGCCTGTTTTTTAATGAACAAAGAAAATCAACATGCACAATTATTTAATAACTGATAGCAACTGCTACTTGCAAAACGCTACGTGCGTCACATGTAGTGGAATGAAGTAGCTGAAAACAAAGTACTGAACGGAATCATACTGAAATGTTAATGCACACTGAAAGGTATCCACAAATTTGTTTCCATCCTCATTCATCGTCAGTACAGAGGATGCGCCTCATTAGATGAGATGTTAATGACAAGTCAGCCAGACCTTGATGGATAAACGAAACGACTTTTCAATCAATCATCCTTATTGTCTGCAACCGGATTGCGAGCAGGCTGGACTGTCTGCAGGAACTGTTTTGTCATGTTTGGTCTGAAGACCAGGTACCACCGCAAGACGGTAGTAAAGCACTGTTGCCCCCATTTTCCAAAAAGGCTGACAAAACCTCCGTCAACGATCGTAGAGTAAGTTTGTTTTACGTGGATTGAAAGGTGTCCGCTAAATTGGTCCAGAAGAAACAAACCAACCGCGACGAATGTACAGAACCAAACCAGACGTGTTTTCGCGATGGAGGAATGTGCACTGATAAATTCTCCGCGCTACGCCACGCCCGGAACTCCACTATCATTTCTAGCAGCCGGCCGTTGTGCGCTTCAGAGAATTCTCGGCAAGGTTAAACTCGGTTCACCGAGACTCAATGTGACGCATTATGGAAGTGGATGACATTCCACTTCTGATACTGTGAACTTAATAAAGAAATATTAATGTAGCATACGATCAATAATCAGAACTTACAGTGAACAGACGGGTTCATGCGCTCCATCCTTCCGTATAGACGTGAAATCTGGGCCTTAAGAGTTGGGAAGGTGTGAAAACAAAAAAACCTCCGGCCACTAGTGTTTATGAATCATCTCGCGAGCACAATATCGACCATGTATCTAGTACTACAATCCGTAATAATGCAACATCATTCAACTCTTCACTGTTTTGAAAGGACGGCGACTGCATCGGTTTAGGCCGTGCCGAGGTTTCCACCAAATTATATCACCTCCAATGCACCGTGGATGGTACCGGGAAGGAGGCGGACAAGTTAAGTGCTGGTGAAACACCGTCAGAGCTGTCGTTGAAGTGCTGTATGGGCGGGCTGCGCATGGGAACAAACTATGCAAGAAGAACTTAATATCGCGTACGATAGACAGAGATGAAATAAATAATATACAGTATATAAAAATGTATGAATATATGTAGTTTTACCGGGGCAACCCGGTAAAATATGAATCTTCACAAACTATAAATGTTTGATCTTTAGCATTGAAAACTATGCGAATCCTGCTCTGTGCTAGACTCCGTTCTTTTGTACTTCCTGCTCCCAACATGCGACTGGCGTCCATCTCAGATCGGCGATATAGTTTCATTCCTTATTTCTTTTGTATCAGTTTGACAACAATTTACGGCGTACCAACTTTCCGCTTGCTATTCGTTGCAGTGCCAAAAAACATGGTTGCTTGACGATGCTGTCTGAGAAATAAGCTTACAAACTTTCAGACTGTATGAAAACTTACAAACTTTCAAAATCGCTGTAGAAAAAGTTTATCAACTTCTTCAAATACATGACGTCAGCATATCAGCAAAACTGAAGGTAGGTTGACATGAACAATTGCACTTGGTTTACTATAACAATCTAATCATCGAATACGAAATACTTCCATGAATGCGCTGAACCTCATTTAGACAAAAACATGAGCTCAGATCAGAAAATACGAAAATAAAAACAAACTGGCAAAAAATCAGCCAAACCCGGCAAACAGCATCCCTAAAGAGGCCTTCACATATCGCGCTCAAGTGAATGGCACCTTTCTAAACTGCATACGCAGCACCAGCCAGTAAACGACGTGCAGTCCAGAAAACACCATCAGAATGGCGTAGTATTTCGAAAAAACGTCGAGTATGTAATGACCATAGATGACCAGAAACATCGTCAGAGTACTCGTCTAAAAATAGAATCATCAGTACAAGAAAGTACATCAACTACTTTCACAGTAACGCAAAACTGAGCCATTCACAAACAAACAGGAACAGTTTTGTCACATCAAACCGGTCGAATGACTGCAAAGCTAACACTGCTTCGTTCTCTTTCCTAGTCATAAAAGTTAATTAAATTCGCCTATTTTTAGGACGTTAAACCTAATCTTTTTGCGAGAGCCTGGCACAAGTGATTTGAAAGACAGTGTGAACATTCATAACGACATTTATGTGTGAGTCGACAATCACGGATGAACTAACATTGACACTACTACAGAAGAAATACCGTTCGCTAAAAAACAGTCAGATCGTGAGTGAAATAACGAATGACTCCTTCAAGTCCAGATTTCACGGCATACGAACGAGGTTTCAGTAGCGAGTATGTTCGCGATGAGTGCAAAGTGACTCTAGCAGACAAAATGGTTCGAGATATATCTGGACACTACAGGTGTTAAAGTGTAACGAAGCTGTATCCCGCTTAAATAACCCCCTCCCACAAGCAACTTGACGACAGCGGTGCAATACGCCGTGAAAGCTAGTCTTGAAAGAATCATTCGTAATTTGACATATTCGTGCATACGAACAGCATATGACGTTCATGCACCGTGAAAGTTATCTGAATGACTCACAGACCTGAACCT